TAGTATCTGCTTGATATACTACCTGTAAAACAGCCTTTTAGCTCCCATCAGCTGTACAAAGTTAACAGAGGCAAAAACAAGTAGGCAGAGCTTCCAAGAATAAAAGCTGAGAAAGTTACAGGTACCTGGCCACAAGTACAGTAACAGCAGTCAGAAATGCCTGAAAAAGGACAAGGGAGCCTGAGTCCTAGGACAGGTGGGATATGAAAGCTTTTGGAGTTCTTGGCAAGAAACCAGGGATGTGAATCAGGAGCCTTATCAGATAGCTGTCAGTCTCAAGGCAGACCACAGCAAGAATAGCCAACACCACCATGTTAGGAAGATACCCTTAGACTATACAAGTCTAGAGGGACCACAAGTAGACGACAGCAGAACTAAGCCATACAAAACACTTCCCTTCTAACTCTGCACAGCCTGGCATTTCCAAATCTTAGCAGCAGCCTACTAAATCTACACAGCCTCAGAGGGGCTGAATCCAAATCTTCATGCAGCAAAGTATCGTCTACTTCTCACCTATGCTCTAAACTCAGTAACCTATTAATACTGCCTTTTCTCCGCATTGTCAAAGCATTTGTCCTGGCGCACAGAGCAGATTTGCTATCGAAAGTGACAAACTTGAGCACTGGAGTCAAGTAGTCACGTGCATGCAGAACTTCCTTCTTTTTTAAAAAAGAAAAGGCAGAGAGAAATACAGACATTTCTCCATGTCTTGCACTCCTCAGCAGTGGATCTGCTCTAAAAACGAGATCTCAATTAGCTTGTACATGTTCCAAAAATTAAACCAGCAAGGCCCCAGTTTTACAACTAATTCTACAACTAACCCTGCCATGAAACACAAGGAATTGTTTCCTTCTGCATGTTTCTCCTCTAACCTGACGTTAACTCCATCCAAATAAAAGGAAAAAAAAAAAAGGCAAAACACAAGAAACATGGTATCACTCAGCTTCAGCTTCCCCTGTCTCCTTATCTGAAAGCTAGCAAGGGTGAAGGGAGAATAAACTCAATGACATTCATGGTGCTCAGGTATCAAGACAGTATTTTAGACTTCAGGGGAACCAAAAGATCTTCACAGAAACACATGGCCGATATATAAATGCTTTAGAAACAAGAACCTACAACTCAAGTGTTTCATGCCTCCTGAAGCATGACTGTAAAAGTCAAGTACTTAGCTAAAATGTTCTTTTCATTTCAGAGATAAGATGCTATCAAAAGTCAAGGTGTCCTGGTTCCTAAAGCTATTGTCCACTACAAATCAGGATAAAGACACTATTTCACATAAGAAAAGTTCTGCAGCCCTCTTCCTAAGATACAGAAAACTTGAGACTAGTCTGCTTAGATGGCCTTGGTAAACAGCACAAAAGATTTTCCTTCACTTTCCAATGACCTACTGCTCTAGCAGCATTAGCCACTGTTCTTGAACAGCAGCCTAAGGTTTATGAGACATTAAAGTTCCACAGCATCTGAAATACTAAATTATTCCCATATTTGAATCTAAATCTAAAAGGAGATACAGAGGCAATTGTTCCTGTCCCCTAGGTTTCTCTGACTCAGGATAAAGTGGTGTTCTTTCTCAATGGATTAAAAAAAAAGTTTAAAAAACAGGCTTTAAAGAATACAAAGCAGTGATGGCAGAGGTTTAGCCACTTCCATGCGATACATCAGTGGCAATAAAAATTGAAGCACTTTATGGGCAGAAAACTTTACTTCTGAACTTTCTCTACTCAGAGGATCTCAGTCTTAGGTACTTGTAGCTTGCAGCAGATTTTAGGAAGTATTTGCTCAGAGAAAACATGAGGAACACAAAAAAGCAAATTATCCACTTCATGGTGATGGGCCAGCAATTTTTACTAGTCCCCTTCCGAAACTGATATCCTAGTACACATCTGGATATGGACCATTCTCCTTAAAGAATCTGACTCAAAGACACTTTGAAGCAGGAGACTTGGACCAAAATTTCTCCAGTATCAATGTCCACCAGATTCTCCCAAAACACCAGACAGAAGATTACAACAGCTCCTACTCAAGAATCAATAAATAACTAATGCAGAACTTTAAGCCTAAGTCAGACTTGAATGCTGACCTACTCAGCAATTGCAGTACTATTAGCTGATTAATGAGCCAGTCTCTCAAAAGACCAATAATCCATCATCAGAGATTAAGATTTTAAAGATTAACACTGGAAGTGTTCAAGGCCAGGCTGGACAGAGCTCTGAGCAATCTGGTGTAGTGAGAAGTATCTCTGTCCACAGCACAGAGGTTCGACTAGATCATCTTTGAGCTCCCTTCCAACCCAAACTATTCCACGATTCTGAGACTGAGACATACAAACCACCCAAAAAGTGCTTTTACCCGTTTACCTCCACTTACCCTACTCCCTCTGTAGACTACTTAATACACAGTGCAGGCATTGACTTAAAGCCAGGAACACCTAGCTAGTTTATTGACTTTTTTTTTTTTTCTGAGGCGGGAAAGAAGTTACTACATTTTTTATTGCCAGTGTGTGAAATATTAAGGTGAAGAAGGGACATTCCATATACAGCAAAGCTGTTGATCTCCTTCCATCAAGAGGTTAAGACATATGGCTTTTTCTGCTAATTCAGATAGAAGGAAAAAAACCATATATTTTCTTCCTACTGGATGTGCTTTTATTCTGCAAGGATCATAGCCTAGTGCCATTTCCAGTGCAAGCACAAAACTGCACTCCAGTCTAAACATCACTTACTACAGCCACTTTTGCTCTGCCTTTTAGAGTATTTCTATGCTGCCAAGTGCCTAGAACAGAATGGCACTATATACAGGGTACAGGAAGGAGGATTTCATTTCTATTGCTGATGGAAAAACTGTGCAAGAACTTTCCCACTTATGAGAAGTTAGCTGACCACAGCCTAAAGCTAGAGTTATTTCTGCTCCAAGGATATCAGGAATACTGACACACTCCTCAAAACCTCAAAGCAGTAAAGCAGAGAGAAGCTTGCTTGCACTCCAAAAGCAAATAAGTTCTTTAATACAATTGAGGAAAGACATTACAGGGTGTAAGATGCTCCTCAGAATACTGCTTCTCACCAGCTATACAGCAGCATGGATGGACCCTGCCAACAGCTGCAGCTCCTCAGCTGCAAGATTTGTGAAGGCAGCTGCCAATTTCTATTGCTACAGGTTTGCCAGACAACAGCTTACTCAGATGATTAAACCATCTATCACAGACAAAATCCTCCACAATTTCTACCCCTGCCTTAGTCACATACCCTTTTCTCCACAGGTCATCAACTGACCTATTTGTTAGATGAAGGCCTAAGCTCTTGAAGCAAAGGTAAGCCTTGCTTCTCACTAGAGCAACAGTGGGAAAATGTTCAAGAAAAGGCCTCCTTGCATGGGCAGGAAGAAGTGCTGAATCCCTACATCACAGCTGCACACAGCAGATGGTGAAATATGGAAGACACCAGGCTACCTTGACTCACTCTCCTGTAGCATGGGAGTGTATTGGGTCAGATACTGCTGACAGCCTCAAGGCTTTTGGAGCCTAAGGGATCCATCCTACCCAGAAGTAGCTCCATATTCCCCAGGACAACAGCCATAGAAGAAGCACTTCTTGCCACTCAGTACCACAAGCACAAACCAGCTGAGCCAGAACTGCTTTTAAGCCCACATCATCCCTTGCAGTTCTTGCTCTCAGGAAATCCTACCTTAAAAAGTTCAGGAAGACTTGTCTACAAGGATACCAAGTCCTTGCAAGCATAGCTAATATATCAGCAGTGCTGTTCTGCCACTACCAAATTACCACGAGGAAGGCACTTCACAGAGTTTGCTAGTGTCCTGTGAACATATGCCAGAGCTAGGGAAGGGAAGACAGGCATAGATACTCCTGCAGAGCACCGTGTTTGTATCAGTGCTGGGAAGAAGTGAGCAGGAGTTCAGCCTGGAAAGGACAATCACAAACAAGCTGATGATAAGCAAACAATGCCAGCTCCAAGCCTTCCCCGTGAGGGCTACAAGAAAAGAGCTGTAACAATGCTTGAAAAATTTACAACTATCTGTACACGATATGACCCACAGGAGATATAGTAAATAAAATACTGCCTCTCGCAACCCTCCTGTGACAGCGCGACCACCACTGTCCCAGACGGTCTCCCACAGCAAGGGACATGATGTCTTCTCCCCCCGAAGCCACTCTGTGCTCTTGCAATGGATGTCAGCAGCGCCCAGGGCTTTATCTCCCCACGGCGAGACGAAGCCGGGAAAAGGTATGTCAGGGAAACACACACACAGACCTTCCCCCGCCCTCCTTCAACACCAGAGGCCCCCTCAAATGCCTCAACCCCTTCCCCCAGGCCATACCTTGTCGGCGATGCTGCGGGGCAGGAGCACGTCGGGGCTGGGGGTGAGCGCCGGCCCCATCTCCTCGCTGCTGGATGTGGCCAGGGGATGCGGCATCTCCCGCAGCGACTTGGGCCCGGAGGAAGGGAGCGGCTTAGGGGCGCTCGCCGCGCCGCTCGACATCGTGCCGGGGCCGGGCAGCGACCGAGGCAAGGAAGGAGGGAGCGGAGGCCGCGCCGCCTCGGCGAGAAGCTGCGGGGCCGCGGCCGGAGCCTGCCCGCCACCGCCGCGATGCGAGGAGGCGCAGGAGGCGGCGGCTGCGGCGACGACGGAGGAGGAGGAGCGAGCGCAGCATCCGCCGGTGCCACCGCCCGCCCCTTTCCACAGCGACATCCGCGCCACCTGCCGCCCCGCCCGGCCGGCGGCTGGAGACAGGCACGGCCCCCGGCGCTGCAGGGCGGGCCGGGGCGGAGAGATGGCCGGGGGCGGCGGCAGATCTGGCGGAATCCCCGGTGTGCCGGGCCGAGCCGAGCCGGACCAGGCCGGGCCGATGGAAGCGCTGCGCCACCGAGCTGCCCCGACGTGAGCCCGCGCTTCGGCGGTGTCGCCGCATGCTGTCGAACGGCGGGTTAAGTGCCAGAAAAGCAATTCTGCTCCTCGAGTTTTCCAGGCTCGCCGACCTCAAACTACGCTCACGTTAGAAGGAAAATTTCTAAATGGCGGGTTGCTGTGGAGGACTCGACCCCAGCCGGGCTCGGGAGGGACAAGGCCCGGCCTCCGGGATTCCCTCACGGTAGGAGTGCACCGGGTACGCTGAGAGATGTCCTGCACGCAAGGCTGACATAGAAACATCCTTTCACTGACGCCCCATGCGTCCACTTTTGCCGCAGAGATCTTATGTTGAGAGACCTCGCGTTGTTGTAGAAACGAACTGAAATATATAGCAAGACTTCTAGAAGTAATCCATGCAAATCCATCTAACAGTGTGTATTCATTATAAAAATTTGGTGATCTGTCCACATTTACCAGCGTGGAAAAAATGTTCATGTCGGTAGAATAATCAATAAACAGGAGAAAAACCATAGTCTGGTCTAAGATGTTTCCTGAGCAGGTAAATAAGCTAAATCTGGTGGATAAGTTACTTTTTCCCAAATAATTTGTTCAGCACTAATTAGCTATTATAGCGTAACATGCTACTGGGGAAAGTGATGTATCACTGTCACAATCCCATCCAGCTACAAATATATATATGAAGATAAACATACAGGTATGTGACCAGGTAAGACTTAGATGCTGTAAACATTTCACTTGTGTTTAACTTTTCCTGGGGAGTACAGACCATTGAAATCAAAAGGGCAGCACTAGTACCTAAAGCTAAGCTACCAAGTTTTACAGGTGTCACTGTGAGGTGCCACACAGCAGGACAAGTATGAGAGCACAACACTGTGGACTGTTATTACAAAAAAAAAAAAATGCTGTGTATCACAGGGATAAAGTACTGTGAAAAATAAATCCTTACTATAAATAACGACTTAATATTAAATATTAAAATAATGTTTGCACTTCAGCAGAGATTAAAGTCCAAGCCAAGTGCTAGGCCTCAGTGAGAAAGCAGCTATGAAATATCCTTTGTTCATTACACTTCAGAAAAAACTTATTTATGTATCAGAAAAAGGAAGCAATACATATTAGTCAGCTTAGATACATGCATCCCAACTTTCTTTTAGATTATCCAAATCTTAAGTGGAAACTACTGTCATAAAGCAGTATTTGTGTATCAGGCAGGTTTGTGTGTCTGCCACACTGCTCATGAATTGGTTCCCTTTGGTTTTGTGACAGTCTGTGTCTCAAAGGTTTATGACTTTCTGAGAGCTCTTTCTCTCTTTTCCATTAAGCATTCTTACCTAGCTGTGTTTCCAAGTCAATTATTTTCCAAAGGAAGCCTGGTCAGGGACAGCAACACCTTCTAATGCTTGGAAACCTGGGGCCATCCTAGCTCTGTGCAAATGACCTTCTACTCATTAAACCTTGGCTTAGTGGCCAGTGAACTGGGCATAAGGTGGCTGCATTCTTGCAGCAAGGAAGACTGGTGCTATCCAGGCTGCCTAAAGAGCAGGCAGCACAAGCTGCAGACTGAGGGCAGGATTTATCAGACTCTGCTTGGCACTCACTTGACCTTATCAGAAATCTTGTATTAATTGTGGGACCTTTATACAAGATATTGACAAACTGGACAAAGTTCACAGGGGGCCACTAAGATGGTTGGTGAAAATCTGCAAGCAGCAGCTGCAGGGCTGATGCTTTTTGAGCCTGGAGCAGCTAACTTCAAGGGCAGTTAACTGCATCCTCCAGTATCCCATAGGGAAGGGGTGGAAAAGATGGAAGTGGTCTTACCACAGCAGACCATAGCAGAAGAACAAGGCACAAAAGACATCAACTGAAACAGGAAATTCCTGATGAATATTAGGAACAATTTTTTTCCCCTGAAGGTACGTCGAGTCAGAGCAGGTTGCAGAGAGAGGTTGTGCAGTCCACCCTTGGAGATTCTCAAGACAATCTGACACAATCTCACGTCTGACCCTCTGTCGCTATAGGACACGAGAAAGCACAACGCGAGCCACCTGCTACTTTGCAAGGTAAAAGAGAGAGTTTATTTTCTGACTCTAACTTTTATACTTTTCCAAAGGTGACAGTGGATTGGAGAGTGAATGGGCCACCTCTCCAAAGACATTAGACAAACCGCTAGTACATCAAGTTTCTCCACCCCCATGAAAGAATGCAAAACAACACGTTATTTACAGAAACTGTGTGGGAAAGTTTCCCAATAAAATGTAAACTCAGAAGGCTTTAGAAAAACTCAAGAATCAGGGCGACATCCCTCCTTCAAGCAAGAGATTGGACCAGAGACATCCCTACATCCCTTCCATCCTGAATGACTCAGTGCTGCTACAGAAGTCATTATGTCCAGTTGATGAGGTTTGTAAGGTGACCTCTCAATTAGCCTGTATACAAGGATGAAGTTCCAAGCTCCAGAGATTCACTTACTGGTCTAGTTTCCTGTGATAGTGCAATATATGCATCTTTTTTTCATTAATTACAGTTATCTGTGTTACCTGTTTCTGCTATGTCATCCTTACTCATTTCATCTGACATAGAATACTTAGAAACATTTTCAAATAACTGGATCATATATGCAAAATGCAGGAATATTTGTGCACCTGTGAGTACAAGTAATCTGAAATCTGGTTAGAAAAAGTTCAGAAGACATTAGTGGAAGAGCTTTTACACAAGAAAATGACAGACTTGCTGGTTATCATGGTGATATTCCTAAATTCTGGCTATGAAAGTTATGTTCAATTTCAGAATTCCAACACCATAGCACACTATAAGGTCAAGCTGGCTAACTGTTGACACTAAGTCAACACTTAAATGTAATTTATGATAATAACATGCTTTAAAAAAAAAACCCAAAAAACTAGACAGGGTAAGCAATCTAGCCCTGTCTTAATGACTAATGACAGATGTCTCTCATCCTCTGATTTTGGTGAGTACCAAATCTGCAAAGATTTGTATAGACAACAATCTAGGTTTAACAGTGATACATATCTTAGGTAGCAAATGCAACCTATGATACTGAGAAATGAGAAGAAGACCAAGTTGGATGGAGCTCTGAGTGACCTGGTCTAGTGGAAGGTTCCCTGCCTGTGACAAAGGGCATGAACTGGCTGATTTTTTAGGTCCCTTCCAATCCAAAGCATTCTATGTTCTATTAGAAGAGTTCAAAAATCATAAATCATACCTTAAAATAGATTAAACTTACTTTACATGTGTAATCTTAAAAATCTGTAAAACTGTCTGGCTTTTGCTGTATTCTCTGCAAGTTCACATCACAGACTAGGGGGAGTTTTTAGCTTGTTCTTCAGCTATAAGGGAATCTCATTTCTATTTTTTTTTAATATGGAAGATGAGCATATTATGTAATTGATTTAAAGAACTGGAACTTCAAAAAGAAGATAGAACATTGAAATGTGAAATTTGAGTTAGGAGCAAATTCCTGTACCTTGATTAGAAATAGTCCCACAATAGAACAGGAGTCATAACTCCAAATCTATTGTGCATGAAATGAAACAGAAAAAAATAGATATACTTTGTAATTGACTTCTTGTAGAAATTGTTTTCTACACACAAATAAGAACCTCTAAATGTGTCAGCATGTAGTCATCTGGCTCCAGCAGCAGGCACAAAAGGTACTACCAAAAACTGAGGAAGGAAAGTGCCTATTTTTCTAATACCAGGAGTGAAATAAACAAATGTCTTAATTCTGCTAAGAAATTATGAGTGATTAAAAATATGTTTAGGTATCCTTCTCCACTGTAGTGGTTTAATTTTACAACCATCATATTTTCCTTGATGTCTATATTGACAATTTTCTTTTTGTTAAACATCAACCAAGCTAAAACCATCCAGCACATGAAACATGCAACCATAATAAAATACAAAATCAGTGAAAACCAAAATCAGTGGCAGGCTGAGAAGAGACTTCTATTCAATGCCCACATCTTAATCCAAGTTAACTTGAAAAAACTGGCATGCTCTCCTAGCAAAATCATAACTATTTACTATGTTTATATCATTTCAGCTCAGAAGCAGGATGAAACAGGTGTAATATTAACTGGGCAAGAAGACAAATGGTCAGTTTGAGGACCAAGAATCTCACTAATTCAGGAAAAATGTTACCAGTTTCACACGTTTTTTTCCTGAATAAATAGTTCTGTTTCTGTATCACTGAAATCAAAGTCCTGCAGGCTACCTCTTAGGATTGTTTACAAGGACAAACACGGAGAGGAAGAATCCACAGATGACTTGCAGGAAAACCTATTTACAAATTTAAGGATAGCACCTATCTTGCACTGCTGTTCTGATCTGGAGTGCCAGTTACGCCAGTAATACCACCCAGGATGTTTAAATAATGGCAGATGGCTTTTCAAGTGCTCAGTGTGAGCCTGAGAAGGACTCTCAGTTGTCTCTTAACATTCTTTTTGTAATGCATCTTTGTCTTTTTGTCCAGATGAGACATAAAATGGCAACAGGGTTTAGGTTTACAAAGACTACCAGGAGGCTAAGTTCATTTTGTATTTATTTACTAGACCAGACATCTAAAGCCCACCTGCTTTTCATCAAGTATTATATTTAAAGACAAAATTCTAGGATTCTCAATAGCATACTCCAGACAGTACAAACAACAAGGTAGGCTTGAGGCCACAGAGATGCTGGCAGGCTTGGCTTGTTTGACAGGTCAAGGGCAGTAAATTTTTTTCCCCTGCTGTCAACAGCTTCTCCTCAACTGCTTTGTCTTTTCCCCACTGTGGTCTACCTTGGCAAGGATAACATTTGTGTCTGCCTGCACATAGGCATGCAGGAAACTCCTACAGAACTAGAGCATTCCAGAAGATACAAAAAAACCCAAAAAATCCAGCTATCTTTTCAAAAAGGGTCCTTCCTTGAACATGCTACTAGACCTTCATGTCTTGTACTGCAGAGATTGGAGAGGGCAGGCTTTTAACTCCATAAACATGCTCAGTGACTCTCTAGAGATAGGATCAGTTTCAAATCATGAGCACACAACACCTGTGCATTCATGCACACATGTAAGATAATGCATAAGATTTTGCTGTATCAAAAGCCTTCAAAGCTGTAAAGTTTTATGGGGGTGCCATAAACAGGATTGTGGGAACAAAGCACACTTGTGATACAAAGCGGAAGTCTGTGCTAAATGGTTATAAAATGAAAAATCAAAAAAATCCAGTCAGGGAGAAAGACTGTAACTATGGATACAGTATCTTTACACAATTGGATACGGAAATCTCAATCAATCTAAAATGTTTAAAGACTCTTCAAGATGCATTTTATTTGTTTGAAGGGTTTTTTTGTGACACACACAATAAATAGAGAAAGGGAATGTTTAGGATGGTACATATGAGTAGCATTGCCATATGGAAATAAAAACAGCATTCTGGAAGATCTTGGTTCAACCCAAGGAGATATCACGCACATGCTATTTTCACTTAGGGGGAAAAGAACCCAACATGTAAATGACTATTCTATCTCAGCCTATAGCGTTTAGAACTGCCCATGATCATTCTGAATTCACAGAATGACTAGGTTGGAAGAGACCTTCAAGATTATTGAGTCCAACCCATGCCCTAACACCTCAAACCATGGTAAAGGAGTGCCACATCCAGTCTTTTTTTAAACACATCCAGGGATGGTGACTCCACCACCGCCCCAGGAAGGCCATTCCAGTATTTGATCACTCTTTCTGTAAAGAACTTTTTTTCCCAATATCCAACCTATATTTCCTATGGCACATCTTAAGATTCTGTCTTCTTATTCTGCAGTTGCTGCCTGAAGAAAGGCACCACCTGACTACAACCACCTTTCAGATGTTGTAGAAAGTGATAAGATCACCTCTGAGTCTCCTTTTCTCCAGTTTGCTTACAATCACAGCTAACTCCCTCAGCCATTCCTCACAGGGTTTGTGTTCCAAGCCCCTCAGAGTCAGAGTTTCCTTTGAGCAGACTGTCTGTTGGAAAAGCAGCCATTGCTTTTGAATGAAGAAATATTCCTAATTTTTTTCCCCTGATGGTACACAGAGTAGTGATATAATCTTCTGTTGAAAGAGCCTTCTCACCTAAGCCTTCTGGATAACATCTGTCTCATACACTCTGTCTCATGTTTTTCTCACTCAATTTTTCCCCCAGATGGAAGTGGCTTATTTGCATTAGTTGCTTTGTATTTTAATAGTACTTACAGTTATAATGTAGCTAGTGTAACTAATGAGAATATCTTCATGATGTAATAATTTTGGTAATGAACCTGTGAATATTAGAAATCATTTGGCCTAGGGTTTCTTAGCTGACTTGGTTGTTGACTGAAGAGAAACACCTATCTTGTCTATTTTAACCATCTACTTTTTAGGATACAGACTAAATTATTGTATTCTCATCTCAACGTTCTGTGACATGGATTTCTGGTACAGCTTAGCTTCTGTAAAACTCTGTAAGTTTTCTCAATTGTTATTTAACTGAGGCTACTGCTGTGCCTAATAATGGAGAAATTATCACATCTTTTCTGTAAAGAAGACTTTGTACTTCGTTCTGTGAGCAGCACCACATGGGTATAACAGGTTTGTTGCTTCCTTCATGTGCCTTCCTGCTACATCTTGACATAACACCTGTGTAATAAATTTGTTAGCACCTCCAGGTGCCTTTCTTCTACAACTTGACATAACAATACCCTCCAGTGGGAAGCTTTGTTTTTTTGTAGCATATTTGGAAGTGTCAGGGAAATAGCAGAGCTTCCAAGATGGCCAATTAGCTAATAATTGTTATAGTGGAATATCATTATGAGACAGCACATTTTTTTTTTCCCTGAAGAATTTTCTTGACATTCTTCCAGTGTTTGTGGTGGCAAGTTTCATTAATGGACCAAATTTCCTATCAATGCATGGCTCTAACAATTGGAACAGATCTTACTTTATGTATGTAGCATACTTACATTATTTTTTTCTTTCCAAATAGTCAGATAATCTGGTTTTGGTAGATAAGCAAGAATTTAAATTTTCTTAGTATTCATA